GATTCCCATGATTGGGACTCATATCGCTCAATTCGTGTCTTTTCATCTAGGACACTCTCGTCCATAGATGAACTACTGAGAACTCTCTCGTTCTCAGTAAACACTGTTGCTGACCTTATGTCGGTTACATACTCGTCTTCAGCGACGAGTATGCAGATCTGCTTGACTTTGCCACTACGCAGATCACGCAAGAATCTTTTATGTTCGAGCGTTGGCAACTGAGTGATCTCCGAAGTTAACTTCGGAGGCGCAATCAGATCAAGTGTATAAGCGCCTACACATGATCCGTTATTGACTATGACATTCAATGTCTCTGTCATTTCCTGGGGACTTATTCCCTCAGGCTTCGAAGGACTTATTCCTTCGTCTACCCGGGGACTTATTCCCGCGGGTTTCGGGGAACTTATTTCCGCCGTATTTGTAATCTTGGGACTTATTCCCTTTACTTCCTCTAGCTGGGGTTGCGCAACCACAGCGAGATCCTCTACGAAAGACTCTCCAGTCGATCTAGGATTATCGTTTCGCTTAACCTGAGCGATCGATGGTTTCTCTTCTAGATGTTCCCCTCTAGGGATACATCTTTGTCCCAGTCCACCCGACTTATTCGAGTGGTGGACCTTCGGCGCAGCCTGTGTTTCCTCACAGCCGCCGGAACTTTGCTCCGAAGTGTAACCGTTTGGTACACTAAGGTTTTGTGCAGTCGTACTAACGACCGTACCACAAGTGAGGCCATCGCACTCACTCGTAGTAGATCCACACGCTTGTGGACGCTCCAAAACGTTCATCAGATGGCCATCTGATGAACAAGCGGCAGGCATCGTTACTGTCCGATGTTGCCAGTTTACCCGTGGTTCGTACCTTCTGAGCCACGGTATTCCAAGGATGACATCAAATTTGTCATCCAAATCCAATACGATAAAGTCATCGTCGTATTGGGTATCTTCTAGCGTATAGTGAATCTTCACTATACGCTTCATGATTGATTACGGATGCGCCTGTCGCAAGACGTACCGTCATCCTCGTAGGAGGTGTGTCACATTCACTGAATTTAAAGTGACCATCTTCTAGCGATTGGCGTCGCACAAAATTGTTGGACGCCCCACAATCGACTAGAGCTCGAAGGGACAACTTATTCGTCACTTCGAGTTTCAAGGTAATGAGTGAGATCTCATTACCTAGAGCAGCAACGCACAATGTCTGTGTGTTGGGAGCAACCTTCATCAAGAGGCCTACAAATTCTCTTGACGTTGCTGGATCAGTAGGGTGCTCCGCACCTACTGATCCTGTCCGTTTTGACGGTCCATCCCGTTGTTGCGTCTTTGCACCAACTGCGGACCCTCGTCCCTGCCCCTTTCTCATGGGTGGACGGTCACTACGCCCAGTGTCGCGAGACACTGGACGAGGGGCACTACACTCGTAAGCGTAGTGTCCTGTCTTTTGACATCTGTTGCATCTCTGCAACTTCTTGTAGCCTGTAGAGCAAGCCTTCTCGCTCTCTACATAACAGAGTTCCATCGGCTCTGGACCTCCGTTGTCATATCGTCTCGGTTGACGATATGATGTCGAGCTGGCGCGAGCCTGTCTCAGACTGAAGTCTTCCTGCTCCGCAATTGAAATGGCTTGTTCTAGTGAATCTAGTTCAAGCCGGAACAGGTGAGTCTTGACGGGACCATCCGCAAGACCCTGCATGAACACCGAAACCAACGTGTGTTCATCCACCGGATTGGAACTTATACAACTCGTGAGATGTCGTATATGTTGAGCGTAAGCGTGCACATCACGCTTACCCTGCTTGAGCTTCAAGAGTTCGGTTCGAGCTCTGAACTCAGCTCTAGGCGGTTCAAACGTTTGTCTGAGCCGCGACTTGAAGACTTCCAACGACCCAAACGCGTATGGGTCGTGCAGCTTGAGCCCCAGTGCCCAAGTCTTGGCACGTCCTGCCAGATTTGACTGGGCAAATGCAACTTGCATATCCCCGTCGTCGATGCGACGCGCCCTTATGGCGTCATCCAATTCGACGAACCATCTCAAGAGGGAGTCTTCTTCGACCCCCTATACTTTGAGATGTCAATCTTCAAAGTCTCGGGCCGACGCGAGTGCATCGACCCGCCAGCAGCAGCCTGCTGCTGTCTCAACAGTTCAAACTGTTGAGCACCTTGTTCTCTCAACAACTCTGCTTGTTGAGAACCTTGTTGGTGAAGCAAGGCTACTTTCTCGCGTTCTGCGTCAAGTTCATTTTGAATGAACTTGGCGATAGTAGCATGTTGGGCATCTCTATTGAGAGCCTCTAGCATGACGCTAACAGCATGGATGCCCATGGTCGAACCCATTCGTTCAACCGCATCCCATTCGACATCGCTCAAATGGGAGTAGCCGTCACGCGTAGCGTGAAAGCTTTGGTCATCTTCATCATCCAACATATTCATGTTGGATGTGAACGCGGTCCTTGGACGGACTACGAAGTGCTACCAGGTGTAACGGGGCACCCTGAAGCTTGTACTGGTGACAGTACAAGCTACTTATTCTGATAACAGAATAAGGCGGTGCCTCGTAACTTCACGTACACTCGTACGTGCAGAGGAAGACGGTAAGAAGAAGCGAGTACTTGGTTAGAGTAAAAAGTAGAACTGTATTTAGTATAGTTAATGTCTGCAATAAATCACTATTTATCTTCATCTAACTATGTCTAAATACAAATGTGTAAATCAGTTATCTGCTCACCACTCATTGCGTGCGTCTGTCGTGGCGCGTCTTCGTTGGTTGGTATAATGGCCTATATCAACCAATTAGGAACTACTTGGAAGTGCTACAGAATATTTGTCCTTATGACAATATTCTGAGAATATAACTCTTATAGTTATATTCTATTAACAATTTCTTATAAATTGTTATGTAACGATTCACCCCGTTACAACATCCCTTGTTTAAGCATGCCGCAATTGAAGCGACACATTTTTCTATTATATGGGGTTGTCGAGACTACCTGCAACAAGAATGCAATATTGGTTGGTACGCTCGGTAACTTTCTCCAGCACTACACGACGCGATTGAAGTCACTTCCTGATCTGCGCTTTCCGGCAACAACGGCCAAGCAACGAGGACCTCCAAAGAGCCGGACAATCGATCCCCTAACTCTAGGCGGGAAGTCCCTTATCGTGGGGCCCAGCTTGAAGGGGGAAGCCGTCTTGCCGCTGCTTGCCTACAGGAGGCTGCGTGGCGTGCAAACTGGAAGGGAAGCAACAACCAGGGCATCCTGAGGTCTAGGGTACGTCAGAACGATCACCCTGCACCATGTACAAGTTCCTGCTCTTCTACATCCGCCATCAAGTCGTTGACCCGTTCGCCGAGCGCGATCTCCGGTCCCACAAAGCGAACTTGCTAACAACGTGATGCTGTCTGGTGGACCCGGCGCCGGTAGTACATGCTAGGGACAAGTCAAGACGGCCCTCGGGACTGTTTGAAGCTGTAAAGGACCTCCCTTGCAGGCGTCCTCTGCACCCAACATTCGCCCCCAGCTTTTTTCCGGTGACACGTGCCCTTCTCAGAGTGTCCCCTGTGACACCCGATGTGTCGAGCCAGCAGAATGAGCTAGAGAGGAGACGAACGATGCAGTCCTGGTAGATGACCAATAACTACCAGAAATCAAAGACTAGTAATAATTACTACGAATAGACCGTCTAAATCTCTCTCATGACGCGATTAATGTCAGAAGTGCCCAATCTTTGCCTTGAAGGAACGTCTCTCCCCCCAGCGATTGTCGTTGCCTGAATGAATCTAGAACCCATCACGCTCCTCGTACGACCCGATCGAGTTCCGGTCGCAATTCTGGCAGTTGGTACACACAGTCTCGTCTGCTATTCATTCTGATCGCCGATGGGAACCCTCTAGTGCTTGCTATGTTGCTGTGTCGATCTCGGCTTAGTCTCATTCGATATTCGCGTCGCAGTGCTTGTCCATTTCAGGCCGTGACCATTTATCAGGTCATCAAAATCAACTGGAGGCTATGAGAGATGTGCAGAAAAGCTAGCAGCAGATTTTCGAGACATTACCACCACAATCACGCTCTTCTTCTTCGATGCAGATCCTTCATCCATTAACGTCACAGTTACGTCACTTCTTTTCGAAAATCATGAGGCCTGACGCTTGAGCCCGTTCAGACAGACCAGCATGTATCAGCATTCATAGGATAGCATGCTGACCACGCTATGCCTCATCGTGAGCAAAAAAGAGTACCAAGTCTTGTCTGCAGGACGTCCGACGCCTCAGCACCAGTTTCAGGTTCGGATTAGTGACTGTTTTTTTATCCACGCCTTAATCGGTTGGTGGTGGTCTGTCAATCAAGAACCAGTATAGGTGATTTCGAGAAGCAGACACACACGCGCGTTGTCATATCGCACGAAGAAAAGACATCGTAGTACGCTCAGAAGCATCTGCGCACAGCGATCCAGAGAATGACGGTCAAGTTGTTTGCTCTATCTTTCTATCTAACCTTGACTTGCAAAGTTTGATTGCACAGCTGTATCCAGATTGCACTGACTAGCTGGGGACAGACCAGAAGCAAAACCACTGATACCGTGCTTGCAAATCGGATCCATACCACAGCTGGGGGCAGTGTCGATGATGCGCTCGCACTTCCTGTTGTGCACTAAAATTTGACCGTGTAAGATTTGACGCTGACAGACGCCATCGCAAATATGTTTGCAACTCTTCAGATCTATGCTGCCGGCCAAAACAACTAACAGCTGTTTCCGAGCTTTTTCGTGGGCGCGTGAAGATTGAAAACGAGTCAAAGTTGAGTTACCGGTGTCAGTCTCTCGGGCAGAAGCTGCATGTCTATCTGCTCTCCCTCGCAGGCTTTTTTAAAAACTGCCTCTCAGCCGTCGGCCAGTTTCTTGTGGCCGCCTTAGACGTGCGTGGAGGTCTAGCCCTTTGCAAGCGTGCGCGCGAAAAATCAGTCATTTTCGATTTTGCAGTCACCCTGTCACTACTCAACTTCCAGGATGCGTTCAGTCAACATTATCGTGTGCATTGCTTCCATCCTTCGTCGGACGCACGGCGAGACTCTTGCGACGGCTGGACTCTATGGCATGGGAGGCGAAATGTCGAGTCCTCTCACCGATGTCACAATGAAAGTTGACAAATCGCTTGCGGAGGCTCTGGTCGATACGCTCCCGCACATCTTCAGACGCGAATTTCCTACCAGCATAATGGCGGAAAGAGATTCGTTTGTGGACAGCGTCTTACGAAGCTGTACCGAACAAATACATGAGTGGCTTAAAGAAGCAGACATCACTGATGATGCTCTTTTAGCGGCATTTAAACTAAGAGACAAGCCACCGTCTGGTTATGAGAAATTTGTCGCGGGCTATAAATCCGTTTTAAGTCCATAGGTCTCACCCGCCCCCGAATGAATTACCTCTAAATGCATCAAGAGTTGGAAGAATGTCTTCGCATATCAGTGCCTGTGTACTGAGTTTACCGTTGATTAGTGATTCGGTAACGCACAACATCGTTTTAAATCTAGAAATAAAAACGAAATTCAATAGATCGTCTTTTGTTTCATGCCTCTCTTTAACCTTTTTCGTATGTGGTGTAGGAGACTTTAGATTTTTTAAGTAGCAGCTTTGTAATTTGGTAGTGATACGGTCTATAAAAAAGGTTCGATTTATTTCAATACTTTTGTAAAATTTGAGACTGCTCAGCAACTTGGGAGAAACTACCCTCTAATCTAAATGGCTAAGTAATATGGAATAGAATTTGAAAACTGGACTGCACATGACCATATAGGTACTTCACTATATTTGCTTATTCTAAAATTGCATCCGCTGTTGTCTTACAATGGAGTCACACGAATATTACCACCCTAAGGGGATATAATTTGTAAGTATAGTATACAATATCAAGTTTTATCAGTAAAAATGACGTTGTTGATGATCGCAGTCATTCAATAACAGCATACAGAATAACCATTTATCGATCTGTCTTGAATAAAGATTACTTTACAAATAGGTATTGCTAACACTTATCACAATCACAGTAAGGCCATCAAAACCCGTTTGTGAGAGTCTGCAAATTCCGTCTGTGAATCCTTCACAAACGCCATTTGTGAAATTCAAGTGCAAAATAAACGTTCACCAAAATCTTAGCGAAAACTTAAATTCTACAATACCACTTCTGATTACAGTTCTGGTATCAATGCTGCTCCTACCAGTCATTTTCCTTTAATATCAAGACTGTACGTGTAACGGGGTAGCCCGTTACATGATATCGACACCAAACGGTGTCAATAGGGATATTGTCCAGCATGACAATTTCCTACCAATATTATCCGAGATAGACAATATTGAAGGAATATTAACCCCTTTTAAATAATATGCATGTGGTGCTCAAAGATTGGTTAATAAACACACATCAACCATAAGTTACCACCAATTGCTGCTAGACGCGCGTAATGAGTGGTGAGCAGGTTGTCGTCGTACGACAATCCAGATCAATTTAGATAGATAAAGATTAAGGTTGTATTGATAGCTAAACTATATTAAATACAGTTCCTTTTTTTACCTTTACTTGACCGAGTCGTTCAAGTAGATAGCTTCCTCTGCACGTACTAGTTTACGTGAAGTCTCGCGGCACCCCAAGCAAAAGGGTACCCCGTTACACCTGGTAGCACTTCGTATTCCGTCCAACGACTACTTAGTGTCCGTCCAACATGATCATGTTGGACGTAGAAGACGACAGCTTTCACGTCACACGTGAAGGCTACTCCCACCTGATTGACTTAGAAGGAGGTATTCGGCCGCATGAGTGTGCTCATGGGCGAACCCGCCATCAGCGGTATGTTGGAGTCTCTAAGCAGAGACCAGCAACATGCTGCCATCAACAAGTTACTACAAGGGGAACTTGCCGTCAAACGAAAGAAGATAGCCTTGCTACAGCAGCAAGGTTTTTATCATTCGATGGGCGGGCCGACGCACATGTGTCGACCCGAAACCTTGAAGATTTATATCTTAAGGTACAAGGGAATCGTCATCGATTCCCTTTTAAGATGGTTCGTCGAGTTAGACGATGCCATCAGGGCCCGTCACATCGAGGGTGACGAGATGCAAGTCACCTTCGCTCTTTTAAATTTGACAGGACGTGCAAAGACTTGGGCCTTAGGGCTCAAGCTTCACGGCCCAAACATGTTTGAGTCGTTGGAGATCTTAAATTTTCGGCTTAAATAGATGTTTGAGCCGACGAGAGCCGGGTTCAGAGCACGCTCTGCACTCTTGAGGCTAAAGCAAGGTAAGCGTGACGTGCACGCTTACGCACAACACCTGCGCTACCTTGCAAGTAGCGTTACGGAGAACCCTGTTGGTGAGCACACGCTCATCAACGTGTTCATCTACGACCTTGTGGATGGGCCGGTGAAGACCTACATGTTCCGAGAGGACTTCCATACGCTGGAAAGGGCGATAGTATATGCGGAACAAGAAGACTTCAGCCTGAGACAGTCTCAGGCTACTTAGTCAAACTATCGTCCGACGAGGCGACAGGAAACAGGAGATCCCGAACCAATGGACCTCCGTTACATCGAGAGCGAGAAATCTCGCTCTCTGAGTCACAAACGAACGGCAAGATGACATCGCTGTCAGAAGATTGGACACTACGCTCATGAGTGTAGTGCCCCGAGCACTGCAACACGTCCGAAAACAGGACATGATGACCGCCGTTGGCCAAGGAAGGGTCCGAGGCGTGGGTCCGACCATGTCGCTAAACAGCTACAGCAAGTCTGACCGTAAGAAAACGGTCAGGGGCAGTAGGGGCGGAGCACCCTGCTAGTTCAGCAACGTCAAGAGAATTTGCAGGACTCTTGACGAAGATTGCTCCTAACACACAGTCGCTGTGTTACTGCCCCTAGTGATGAGGAGTCTCTCATCACTTCGAAGATCGAAGTGACAAGTGGAATGTCACTTCGCGCCCTAGTTGACTTTGGGGCGTCGAACAGTTTTATTTAACGCCAGTCGCTAAGGGGTAGTAGTCTCAACTATGTTGAGCGAGAGTTCCCTTTAACGAGGATGACGGTGTGCCTTGCTACAGGCGCATCCGTAACAGTGAACAAACGTGCAGTGGGAATCCACTACACGATAGAAGGAAAGCAGTACGACGATGACTCTATCGTACTTTATTTGGATGAAAAAGTTCATGTCATCCTTGGTCTGCCATGGCTTCGAAAAAAAACAGCCATGGGTCAGCTGGCAGCATCGATCCGTGAAGTTGCCGGCCGTTTGTTCATCGGATGGCCATCTGATGAACGTCTTGGAGCGTCCACAAGCGGGTGTGTGAATGTACTACGAGTGAGTGCGATGGCCTCACTTGTGGTACGGTCGTTAGTACGATTGAACAAGATCAAAGTGTAGAAGGCCACTACACTGTGGAACCAGCTTCCGGCACCTGTGAAGAGACACAGGCTGCGCCGAAAGTTCACCACTCGAAGAGATCGAGTGAACTGGAACACGGATGCACACCAAGCAGGGCGCATCCAAGAAGAAAGATTAGTGTTGTTCAGAGCGAAAAACATGTTGAAGCGAGGTCGACTATCAGATATTCGATCGTAAAGCAAGGCCGATGGACTGAGAGAGAGTCGATCGAAGAGGAATTGACTGTGGTAGTGCACCCACAGTCAGTACACGTATTGGAAGAAAGTTCCAGCGTTCCTGGGAGTGATAAATCCCGAGAGAGTGATGTTGAGGGTGTAGATCCCCAACCGCCTATGGATGTGTTTCCAAAATCACCGAAACAGTAAATGTCTTAGTGAATGACTGATCAAGTGTAGGCGCTTATACACTTGATCTGGGTACGCCCCCAAAGTCAGCTTCGGAGGTAATCAAGTTGCCAACACTAGAATCTACAAAATTCTTCCCGAGATATGCGTAAAGACAAGATCAAGCAGATCTGCGTACTCGTCAGAGAGGACGATTACGTCGCCGATATTCGGTCGGCACAAGTGTTTGCTGATAACGAACGGGTTTTCAGTATCTCATCGATGGACGAGAGTGTCCTCGATGAGAAGACCCATATTGATCGATACACGTCTCAGTCTTGGGAGACTTTGAAGACAATAAATTTCTGTAAGGATTTAGTAGAATTCGGGGATGTTTTCCCTGAATCCGTGCCATGCTAGCTGCCTAAGGACAAAGGCACTCAGCAGGAGATCAAGCTGAAACCCGGTTTGAACAGCTGCGTCATGAAGCAGTGGCCACTGCCTCGTGAACAGGTTACAGAGATCGACAAATTCTTTGCCGATCGTTTAGCGGACATTCATATGAGCAAATCAACATCCTTACACACAGCTCTCCGACCTTCTGTGTGCGAAAGGTCACAGTAGGGTGGCGGATAGTGCACGTGTTCAACAAATTGAATGCTGCAACGGTACCGGCTCAAACGCCGATCCCAAGAAAGGATGTCATCATAGATGGTATGGCAAAAAGGAACATATTTTCATCCATGGATCATATGGATGGATTCTATCATATCCTCATGCGTGAATGGGATATCCCTTACACAGCATTGAGCACCCCTGGTGGTATGCTCTGGGAGTGGCTAGTAATGCCACAGGGGCTAAGTAACGCCCCCGCAACGTTTAACAGATATGTTACGAATCTGTTGCGATCGGTGCGCGACTTCGCGCCGAGTTACTTCGACGATGTCTTCGCCCATATCCGGGCTATGGATGGAATGACGGACGTGGAGGTTCATAGAATCCACGTCCGAAAGGCTCTTACGCTAATGCGAAAGCATGAGGTGTTCGCGAACCTCAAGAAGTATATATTCGCAGCGAACGAAATACCACTTCTTGGCTGCATCGTGGGTAAAAACGGCGTACGCCTTGATCCGGAAAGATCAAGGCGATTAGCGACTGGCCTGTGACAGTCGAAGTAAAGGGGCTTCAAGGCTCCTTGGCTTGGCAGCGTATTTGCACAAATACTCGCACAACTATGCCGAGATGACTGTACATCTCTCTCGTCCATTAAAGAAGAAAGAGAGGTTGTCATGGAGTGCTGAGTGTCAGCACTCTTTTTTGCGGCATCAAGAAAAGCTTGGTGCAATTGTCTGCGTTGGCGATTGCAGATCAGGATAGACCATTTCATGTGGTCTGTGACGCCAGCGATTTTTCAATCGGCTGCACGTTAATGCAGTACGACTCAGACGGCGTTGAGCGCGTCGTCTGTTATCAATCGCGTCAGCTGCAAGAAGCTGAGCGTAATTTCTCAGTGCACGACAAGGAACACCTTGCCATGAAATATGCACTGGCTAAGTTTCGAGTATATATCTTAGGAGATAGGCCCTTCATCGTTCATACCGACCATGCGTCATTACGCACGGCCGTAAACAGTCCACACCTCTCGCAACGAATGGCGAGGTGGCTGTCTTTCTTCGCGGAGTACAACTTCTCCGTCGATTATCATCAAGGACGGCTTAATGTCGTCGCTGATGCTCTTTCGCGTCGGCCCGATTTCGAGCCGATTGCTCAACCTAACAGTAGGGTTGATCCCACTGTAGCGACACTAACAGTGAGTGCTCCGTTGTTAAATCTGCTCGACGACGTGCGAAAAGCATACGCAGAAGATGATTTTTTTCTGCGATTGATGGATTACGTATCCAATCCGTGTAATCAAGCTTTGAAAATCTTGTCGTCTCAATACCGCTCTTCAACCAAACGGTATTCTGTTTGTGATGGAATGCTGTACTCTACAGCAGTCAACGGCGACACACCTAGTGTCATCGTTCCCGCTCACAATGTTTTGCGATTGCGCATTATGTATGAGTGTCACGCTGCCCCATCAAGTGGGCATCGCGGTAGAGAAAAGACTTACCTCACGGTAATTCGTGACTTCTACTGGCCCTTCCAGTATGAGTTTGTGCGCAAATACATTCGAGCTTGCGAAGTTTGTCAACATGTGAAGCCTAGTCCTTCATCGCGCGCAACATTGTAGCCTCTACCGATTCCGGCAGAGTGTTGGCAGTCTGTATCGATGGACTTTGTCTTTGCATTTCACAAAGACGATTACAAGAATTATAGTACTCTTGTGTTTGTTGATCGATTCAGCAAGACGTTACATCTTGTTGCTGTACCGGAGTCAATCACAGCCCAGAGCTGTGCTCGTGTCTTCATCGAAACTATCCTCCGACTTCACGGGTTACCCCGTGAACTCGTGTCTGATAGGGACCTCCGCTTCACAGCGGAGTTCTGAAAATCCGTGTTTCGTTCACTTGGAACACGTTTGACGATGTCGACTTCTGACCATCCAGAAACAGATGGTCAAACGGAACGCGTCAACCGCGTCCTCGAAGAGATACTTCTAGAGTGTGTACACTCGTTTACGAGCTGGAGTGAGTTCTTGCCGATGGCAAAATCGCCATTAACCACTCGGTGCATGCGTCGACAGCGCATACACCGTTCTTTGTGAATGTCCTACGCCATCCACGTTTACCCGCCTTTTTAAAGCGTGACTCTAGTTTAAGGGGGGGTGGACTCGCTCGAACAAAAACCGATCTGGTTCTTACTCATCACACGTCGACAATGGTGTCAACTTAATGGATGCCGATGTCGACGCGATCGATATCGATGATGAAGATGATGCTGGTACATTCAGCATCGCCAATGACTGCCAAAGTGAGGACGATGACACTCTCACTGGTGAAGAAGACGTCCTTCCAGCAGTGCACACGAAGCGCACTCCTGCGGATAAAAGTAAATCAGCAGAGGAATTTCTGCTGACTCGCGAAGCGTTTGTCCGCTTTGTTTAAGACTCTATTGCTGATGAGATTGACAAGCAGAAGAGAAACACAGACAAACATGGAAGAGCAAATGTTCTTTCATTAATTAAGGAAACTCAGGTTTACTATCTAAAGTAAATCTACTGAAACACGCAGCGACAACCGTGGGCAGCAGTAAATTAATGCCCAAGTACATCATTCCATTTTGTGTGTTGCGCCGAATGGGCAACGCATACACGATTGAACTGCCTTGCAGGATGCGTACGCATCCTACGTTTTACGTTGGTCGCCTCCGCCCGTACTATCAGTACGAGCCCGTTTCGAGATGCGAAGAACACCTCCGCGGTCGCGAGCCGAGACCACCTTCGAGTGGTCCCGTTTCAACGAGCCAGTTTGGTCGACTAGAGAAGCGACCTGTTCATGCAGTTGAGCGATGTCTCGACGAGCTGCAGCCAGCTCGTAACGAAGAAAACGAGTCGAGTGGTTCGTTCTAAAGCAGCGCAAACGCAAAAGCGGCACGATTTTCCGAACGATCGTGCGTTAAAGAATTGTTACAATATCGTCGAGCTCATAACGCCAAGCCTGTTCACGAGCCAGGTCATTTTGTAAATAATCGGTTACACGGTTCAGCTCCTGAACATCAAGCTGATCGGGCCCTCAAGCCGGATCAGGTGTTACCACCGCCACCACATCCTTTGGTGAACACAGGCGGTGGTCAACGCTTTCTGGTGGAGCGCATTTTGAACCACCGCGATGTGAAGGACGTCCGAAAAAGTTACCTCGTCCGCTGGCGTGGCTTATCCACCGGCGTTGTACAGCTGGGAGCCTCGTTCCCAGCTGATTGTTGATGTCCTGGGTCCCGTCGAGCAGAACAACGAGACCCATCCGCTGCGTTCGAAGAAGGGCCGTCGGAAAACGACCTACCCGAACGTGAGCACAGGGATTTTAAAGTGTCAATCCCTTCGGCCATTTCAGAAGAGATGCGCACCTTTCCGTAGGGATCATTAGGGAGATAGGCCTCCCCAGGGGGCACGGCTCGAGTTGTCCAGGCAACCTGGACACGAATCACTCCACGAGAGAAAGAGTAATCCTGCCTATCTTGACAATCAATGCAACTTGTACCGTACACCGACTGATTTGCGCTTCTCAAAACGGATTCGAGCTGCATCAAGTTTACCGAGCCAATCATCACGGCCAATGCACTCGATGTTGTGGATGAAGGCATTCCATACTTGCACCAAGGCCGTACCGTCTCGGCCACGGCTGCCATCGTACCACCGATGTTTGAAGATTACATCGGTGAAGAATTCTTACTTAGCACGGATAGTTTCCGTGCTGGAATCAGGTGGACAAATCGTCTTGCAATCGAACGACGGGATTCGATCCCGTTCGGTAGTCATGCCGGCCCATCGATCTAACTCCTTGGACAATGGCATCAAAGGAGACTCCACTTGAGAAGAGTGGCGCAGTACATTGCGGTCCCTGGCCTCTTGTGTTGTGTCAGCATGAGCACTGACAACAGTGGCAGCTTGACCTCTCGAGTTGCTTCTCTCTTTGTGATGCATAGGTGCATTACCACCATAACCACGCGTCCTATCGTTGGTTGGACCTTCGTAAGGCGGAGACTCATCGGAATGATCACTCGATCCGATAATCTCGCTCATGGTGCTGCCGCGCTGACCAGAGCCAGTCAGCCTGGCTTTTGCAGCGTCCGCCTCGGGTGACCACGAGGCATGAGGAGTCGCCTTCGCTTCGGATGCATCATCCGACTCGCCAGAATAGATGAGCTCTATCTCCGACTCGTCTGGATTACGACTCGCGGTACTTGCTTCAGACGGAGCGGATGTACCTGTAGCACGTGGTGACTCACCACGTGGAGAATTCATGACAACAGGCGACTAATCGCCTGCTACAAAGTCACGAGGGGCACTTTCCGCGGCCGCACGCATGCGTGCAGCCGCTTTTCTTGTTGCTGCAGTAACAACTCGCGTGGTTTTGGAAACCATGCGTTAGATTGGCAAATGAATGGAATTTGACCAACAAGTGCTCCCTTTCCCAGGGAGATCCAACGGTGGTCACCCTGACCCAATCAATAGTAATTTAATCAACAGGTAAGTGATGTTTAAGGGAAAGGTGATGTTACGGGGTAGCCCGTTACATGAAATTGACACCAAACGGTGTCAAAAGGCGTATTGTCAAGTTTGACAATATTCTGCCGATATTATCCGAGATGGATAACATTGAACGAATTTTAATCGCTTTTGGATAATATTCATGTGCTACTCCAAGATTGGCTGATATAAGACATATCAACCATAGATTGCCACTAAACGCTGCTAGACGCACGCAATGAGTGGTGAGGAGGTTGCCGTCATACGACGACGTAGTTCAACATAGTTAGATAACGATTAAAGTTGTATTGATAGCTTAACTATATAATAATACAATTCCTATTTAACCTTTACTTGACCGAGTCGTTCAAGTAGATTAGCTTCCTCTGCGCGTACTAGTGTACGTGAAGTTTCGTGGCACCCCAAACTATGGGTGCCCTGTTACATTAACAATCAGCTGCTTGCTGTTTCTGGCGATACTTAAAAAATGCGTGCCCACCGAGAGTGCTGCATGTCTTTTTTTTGCAGTCGTCAAATGCGTCGGCGTGACGAGGGAGCTGCCGCAGAAGATTGTGTTGTTGGCTGCGAACCTGTTGCGGGTGTTTTGTGTCACGAGGTGCAAAACGCCCGCCAAAAAAATATGGCTTGATGTCAAGAGACGCTGTCAATGACATGAGCTGCAATATACGCTCCTTGTGGTTGAGTTATTCAAAAAGTTGTTGCCGTTGAGCTTAGCGGCTTGTGAAGACCGGATAAAAAGGTGATTTTAAGTCCTAAGGACAAGCGAGTCGACCGAGACTCATAATATTAATGGCGATAAAGGGATACACGTAGTTGAGTACTTGGTACCCTGTGTCTTAGACACACAGATGGTATCCCACTGAAAGAGATATGGAACATCTTATAGGTTTGTAGGGGCTGAATGGTGTCAGCCACCAGGTAGGAGAGATCTTAGTTGTACTAAGATCTGGAAATAAGTGTCTAGATTTGGATTAAGATATTCCATAGGTCCAAATGGAAATGTATTTCAGTTCCCCTTTCGATCTCAAGGACATGTGCCTTGCGAGGCGTCTTTGGTCGCAGATCTCTGATCACTAAGCGTTAGCAACACCTCCTTGACATAGCTAGCTACTCTTGAGCACTAAGTGCTATCGATTCATTAAATCGTTTATTCCCCTGGAAAAGGGACCATAAGCTTTGAGGTCGTTAACTCATCGAGTCTAGTTCTTAAGAAAGTTGTTGCTCATTAAGCTTTAAGTCTTCTTCTGACTTTAGGATCTGTGTAGCTCCGCTACACTAGCACTTGTGGTCAATCTACGCCTGAATGTATAATACTAATTCTTTGATAGGATGAAAAAAATCATTCCTATCTCTGAGGCCCAAAAGGTCGTGCTTCAAAATCTAACCGCATCTTTGGGTTCAGAGTACGAGAGGTTTTTTGTTTCACAAGACCCTTAGGTGCTAAATGCACGTGTTGGAGACTTCAAGCAGTACAAATAGACCCTTCTAGGGAAGGTCCAAGACCAAGTAGCGTCTGATATGCCTACATGCTATGTGACTGTACCAGACGAAAAGGCTAGGCCTCGTCTACTTAGGGTAAATTACAATATACTCCGGTAAGGAGGGTGAAAGACTCATCCTCTAAATTCGTGAAATTAATATGGCCATGAGATCAAGCCTGATCTGGCTTGGCCATCAACAGGTCTTTCCGGCTATCTCAAAGCTCGATTGAAGAGCTATAGTATGATCAATGACGTGTACCACGTTGGTTGACTTACCAATCCAACAAGGGGGTCGCGAAAGTCACAATTAAACAAGTGTTCTCATCACTTAACCAAGCTTACCGCGTGCGTTTACAATTTTATATCTACCCGTCAGAATAAAAATGAGCTATCGGATTATGTTCAAGAGCTAAGAATTCTCATGACTGCAATGCAGTGTGATCCTCTGCCCGAAAAAGTTCATGTGACTATATCTATGGAAGGTTTTCGTACTGGCATTACCAAAACCGAAGTTTTTCGGGTCCACCCCTCTAATTTCGAAGAGGCCGTGAGAAATTCTTTAAATGCTGAGCATGAATTTGTGTCGGCCAGGCTTGGCTGGAATGAATACAGACCTAGCTCTGCGAGAGAAAACTTCACGAGTGGTCCAGCCTTCAATAAGCCGGAACTGATGCATCTCAGCTTTGCTGAAGGTGAAGGTGAAGTTAAGCTTCAAACTGCTGAGCAGCAGCGCATCGTATGACGATGTTTTACGTGCGGAAGCACTAAACAATTGCGGCCTGGTTGCCCTTTATGTAAACAGCGTCATGCTACAAGCCAACACACAGCCCCGAGCCAGAGATCTGGCATGGCATGAAGAAATGCCAGCGCCCAGTAGACGTAGGCGCACTACTGGTGAAGAACTGGGTTCTGTGATACATTTAGGAGATAAAAATAAACAGGGCCTAGCCCCAAAGAGATACGTACCTATTAGTATGAAGTGTGGATACTAGTCTGGCTTGTTAGTCGCCGAGGCGATAATTAAGTGCTTTAAGAGGCCTTAATCGACATTGATCGACTCTGGAGCGTCTTGCAATAATGCTCGAATACGCTTTCTTGAGGACAGTCAGCGTTATGCTGAGGCGCTTACAGCGCATGAGAGTGATTCGATCACAAATCGTTAAGCAACTGGAAGTCGTGCTACTGTGCCTTAAGTTCCATTGAACTAAGGAATACAGTTTTTAGACTTTGACAGCATTGAAATCTTTCATGTCCAAGAAATTCGGACTTAGGATATAATCTCATCCTTGGTATGGCTCGGCTTGAACGCCATGAGCCATGGATTGATTGGAGGTATAAGACCTTAGGCGCCACGCACGACGTTCCTAGCGAAGATTTGGAGTGTCAAAAACCCACCTCCGCTTGGCTACAGAAGCACTACTGGCGTGAGCCTTGAAAGAGGATATCAATGTTCTGAATATGTGAATGTCTCATTTGTCTAACGTTAATGTTGTAAACATAGATTTTGAGCGTAGCTCGTTAAATAGCAGGGATACAGCACGTACTTTGTTATGTGTTACTCGTTGTAATAAAGAGTCAGTGCATGATGAAAGCATGGCTGGCCCAGGTCCGGATTAAAAATGATGTGATTCCTTTGATGTATGTGAGGTGGCACGTAAAAATTTCCCGAGTGTGTTCAAATGTGAAGGCATCAAACTAAATGTCGGTAATGACATTGTTGGCAAAACGACGTTCAGTTCAGGGCTTAGCCTGCATAATGTACGTGGAGTGGCACGTGAAAATCCACTGGGTGGAGAGTTCGAGTCATGCTACACTCCGCCGGATGTCGGTTAAGACATCGGCTTTCGTATAAAGCGTACTACTAATAATTTTTAAGGGGGGCAGTAGTGCCCCAACTCCTAAGAGGTGTAAGGTCTCCGAGAGACGACTTGGACGTCAGATGGCAACTGTAAAGTGTCAGGCGTCCACGCAGTAGATAACACACTTTATACACCCGTTTATGTAGTGACTGGTAAGATTGATGGCAGTGTTAGCTTAAAATCCTTTCAGCTTTGGACAATTTGTGTGATCTGGACAAAATGATCAATGGAGAGTTTATCCAGGCCTTAAAAGCAGGAGACATATCCAAATGAGTGGTCATTAGACCGGATGTTATATTAAACTCGTCCTCATTGATGGATGAGTCTGTCCTTTGAGACACAAAAGCGGCACTTAGTGCACGAAGTGGATCTTCGATCCTTCAAGATCCTTTGGAACAATATGGCAGTATTTACATAGTACTGTGCACTCGATTTAGTAGAGAGTTATTATTAGCTGCTCATGAGATCGAGTTATGCCACAACGACTGTCCAACGCCCCGCCTACTTTTAGCCGTCCGGTGATGCAACTGTTTAGACCTCATCGAGGATACGCTCAGACATACTTTGACGACATCTTTTTCCATTGTCGTGCAGACCACTTATGTCAGATGTGGACGATTAAATTGACCATTTACGAGCAGTGCTTGATTGCATGCGCACAAACAAGCTGTAGTCGAATGCATTGAAGTGCATTTTGGTGCGGAATAAATTCCTTTTACCGGGTGCTTTGCTGGAAAGCGTGGCCTTCGAGCGGATCCTGCTAAGTTAAATTCAATAGTGGAAGGTGAAAAAGAGCTTTTGAGTTTGAAATAACCCTCAAACTTAAAGCTAGAAATGATTTGAAACGTTTTTTTAATAAGTGACAGAAATTTTTTATTAATCATATTCTAAAAAGTTAAATTTTACGTAAACAGCAAATAAAAATCAAAAAGCCATCATTAAACAAAATGAAGCAATTGCTTCTGTTAGAGCAAAACCTAAAATTGCAGCTCTCATAAATTAATGTTGAAAAGAAGAATTTTTTAAAATGCAAATAATCAAAGAGCCAAAAACGTTTCCAATGCCAATACCTGCAATAATTAGATTTAAAGTTGCTAATTCTGCACATAAAAATCTAGAAGCTTGTAATTTCATAGATTTTATTATTCTTTATTTAAACTGGCCGATTTCGTCGAATTATAGGGCTTGCGTTGATGCTCGGCCTTGCTAATTACTTGCATAAGTATAGTGCGAGTTACGCAGACATGGCAAGTTCATTAGCCAACCACATTAAGAAGGATAAGTTTGGTGTTAGGGCGCGTTCCATGCTTAATGTTTTAAAACTATAAAGGACAGTATCATCTACGCTTTCATTTTGGCTATGCCTGGCCCTGAGCGGCCTTTTAGTGTCGTCTGTGACGCGTCTGATTTTGCC